TATAGCAAACCATCTAGTACGAGTTACAGAGGACACGACAGACGAGCACCTGACATCGGAACATGACCCTGATCTCCCGCCCCTAGGGTCACGGGTACGACGAGGTCCAGGCTGGCACTACCCTGACCACCAGGACGACAACAGACCGGGAACAGTCTGTAGTCACGGCAAATCTGGTAGATACCGTATAACTTAAACTTACTCGTAAACTGCCTGTTACCCTGTCAATAAGAATCTACAGGATGGTCCTTTAGATTGCTGCGATAGAAATATGGAAATATATTGAATTTGCAAATAATACACAAATGTTTATGATCTTAAATAGAATGTGTATTTCTACAGTGTTAAAAGAATTCTAGATATACGTTGTTTTTATCTCTTCTAATCTTAAAGTGCGATCCATATTTCTGCATATGGTTACATATATTTATCGGAAACATGTGATGTGTTATCTTTACTCATATGATGGTAGGCATGGTTTGGGTGGAATGGGACAACTCCCACAGAAACTGCTACAATTACAAAGACGGAGCTCACGAAGTCGTGACTGTGACGGAAAAGAGAGTGCTGAAAAGGGACGAAATCATTGCCCCAGGGTGTTATGTGAAGAGAGGTAGGTTTTTACTATGGACATCAGCAACCACGCTTATAATATAATTAAACTTAATAAGCTGAACATTAATTGTAAACGAAATACTTGTTAAGCATTGACACGTTTCAGAATAAACCTTTATAATTCGGTGAGTAAAAGTGAACGTGCCGCTACCAATTATGCAGAGGTTAATGACAGATGTCATGAACCCTTAAACTACCATTATATTGAACTACTGATGTGAAATAGAATGCACGTGAGTTACGATACCGGTGTTTTGTGACAGGTGATAACTGGAGTAAAGGTGATGAAGATGGAGGACCGGGAACAATGGGCGTGGTCACCAGAGTACACCAACACGGGACCGTCATTGTACGTCATTTCTAGGTTATGTCCACACTGAGACAATCCAGTGAACCGATTCTTTGTCTTTATATTTCAACACCTTTTAGAAGAAAATGGCCATTTATATTCACTTAAAAAGTAATATTATCAAAGTTTATATAATTGTTCTTGGCTCAAGGCACCCAGATTCCATATGCTCAAATGTCTAATTGATGCGATACGTCGTCACAGGTCCAGATCCTCGTCCATGTATCGTGTTCAGTTTGTTTATACGACACACCAATCTTTTATTGGTGTGTCGTATCGAATCTCAGGAACTTTCAGATATTCTACCATTGAGGGAATAGCCAAAATTACATTATATTACAATATGTCATACCTGTGTTCTAATTCAAGCTGTCCAACCGCAGACAAATGATAAAACATTTATATTGTCACTGTATTTTATCAACTTTATGTATTACAGGTTCGATGGCCAAACAAAGCATACAAAGAGTACAAGTTTGGATCGGAAGGATTGTTTGAAGTGCAAGTCTGGTACGTTAAATACATGTAGGATGCATTAGGACAAACACGATTTAATATGGTATAATGCATGAATTAAAAATAAAATCAATGTCAAACAGTGCGCCGGGATCCTGTAAATGAATAATGCTAATGTATATGAATTAACAAGTGTAGGCCAATGAAAATCTTATAAACATGGTCAGTACGTTTTATAAAATTCAGTCTTTCAAGTTGAAAACAATGATCGTATTTTAAACTAATCCTCCTACAAATTCCGGATCCTGAATATTTCAGATAGTTCTATTTAGCGGTTTTTTCATTGCAAATCCTAATCGGTGGAGTATATGGTATTCGTTTATATAGTTTTTTATAATAGTTTAAAACTCGTTATTCGGGTTAACAGAAGAAAATAAATGTATTTTTTTGTGTTAAATAGGTTTAATGTTTGCTGATCTTTTACAGCACGGACGATTCCCGTACTACCCACACACAGGACCAGGGACCAAATAATTATGTGGCACCAGCCGGAGAGGGGCTCAGAATAGAATCATTTCTCCCCCCTCCGAAATGAAAAATAGTACCATAGTGACGTAGAATGGGCGGAGACGTTGTAGCAACTGCTTTCAATAAAACGAAATGATGCAGTAGATGGGAAGCGCAAGAATGAGAGGGACTGGGAATAGAACATTCCTTCCGCCTCCTAAATGAACATATACACGGTACCATACTGACATAGGTCTACATTTAGACTGCTGAACTCGAGTCCAAAATGATGTATTAGATGGGAAGACTGAGAGGGACTCTGAACAGAATCATTCTTATTCCATTGAAACTTAAAGAGCTCTCTTCATTTTTGACCAAAATAAACATTCTTGTTGATCAGTCATGTATATGTTTGTACAGACCGTAAAACATTTCATTAGACAATTACAATAAAGCATACTTATATCAGCCAACAAGCAACATAATGTTGTACAATGAGGAATAAAAGGATAAGGGCAAAGATAGAAGGAAAAGAACATCAGATAATAGCCATGATATTTTTTGAAAAATTCTTTCTTATAATGAAATTCCTTTTGGTTAGTGTACGACACCTCCATTGATTGTTCATTTCCAATGTAGAATAATTAGCAATAAAGGTATGAAGTGCAGTTATTTATACATTGGTTTTTTTTCGTAGCAACAGTTTAACAGTTTTCATTAGCAAAGATGTAAATAGCGTATTGATTGAATAGCAGGCAAGTTTTAATAATTTCTTTCGCAAGTAGCCTGAAAACATGCACCCATAATATGGATTAAAACTTCGAGATGCAAATGGATACAGTATATGGTTTTCCAGTTATAATTTTAGGAGTCTAACCTTTTAATTTGGGAAAAAGAATTGCTTAAAATTCTGAAGAGAATTTTTTTTTAATTATTTCTATTGATAATATTAACTTCGAACTTGTTCTGCCATAAAAGTTACAGAAAGTGTAGATTTATATAATATGTTTGTAGAGAATAGAGCAAACAAGAGTTTCTACGCAAGAATTTACATGTAGTTAAATTAACATCACGTTCTTGTTCCCAGGTCATCAGATGAAAGTTCAAGGTTACATACTGATTGAAATTTGTACTTCCAAAAAACTTGAATGCATAGCGGATTAAGGAAATGGAACCAAAGACTGACCGGATAAGGGCACATGTTACAAGATTAACTGTTCCGGGGGTCATTTCATACTCTGTTCTATGGGATTATGTCTGTAAGATGGCTATATTTCAACAGCAATGCACCAGATGGCGGTAACACAACACTTTCCTCTTGTGTCTACATTTCTGTAATACTCTGTCGTCCCTTTATTTCCTCCTGTAATTCTGCCTTGTCAAGATCTATTGAATTAGGACTTTTTCAATAGAATTAGTCAAATTTAGGAAAGCTTAATGACAACTATTATAGTAACATTTAGCTAGTCTAATGTCTCATCTGGAGTCCATCATGTAAGATTGTCCATGATTTTGAAAAAGAAGTCATTTACAGAATCAACAGACAACCAGTATCATATTACTAGTCTGACGCAAAGGGACATAATGATTCGATAGAGTGGGAAGATTTGGACCTATGTATCTGACGCACAGGGACATAATAATTCGATAGAGTGGGAAGGTTTGGACCTATGTATCTGACGCACAGGGACATAATAATTCGATAGAGTGGGAAGGTTTGGACCTATGTATCTGACGCACAGGGACATAATAATTCGATAGAGTGGGAAGGTTTGGACCTATGTATCTGACGCACAGGGACATAATAATTCGATAGAGTGGGAAGGTTTGGACCTATGTATCTGACGCACAGGGACATAATAATTCGATAGAGTGGGAAGGTTTGGACCTATGTATCTGACGCACAGGGACATAATAATTCGATAGAGTGGGAAGGTTTGGACCTATGTATCTGACGCACAGGGACATAATAATTCGATAGAGTGGGAAGGTTTGGACCTATGTATCTGACGCACAGGGACATAATAATTCGATAGAGTGGGAAGGTTTGGACCTATGTATCTGACGCACAGGGACATAATAGTTCGATAGAGTGGGAAGGTTTGGACCTATGTATCTGACGCACAGGGACATAATAATTCGATAGAGTGGGAAGATGTTGACCTATGTATCTGACGCACAGGGACATAATAATTCGATAGAGTGGGAAGGTTTGGACCTATGTATCTGACGCACAGGGACATAATAGTTCGATAGAGTGGGAAGGTTTGGACCTATGTATCTGACGCACAGGGACATAATAATTCGATAGAGTGGGAAGATGTTGACCTATGTATCTGACTCACAGGGACCTGATAATTTGTTAGATTAGGAATAACTATCCCTTTCAATTAGAAAGTATTGACATATCTGAACAAGACGTAATCGACCAACTTGAACTACTAAATGATAATAAACCAGCAGGGCCTGATGGAATTATACCCAAAGTAATTAAAAAACTAACACCCTCAATATCATATCCACTAACATTACTATTTAACAAAACGATAGAACTTGGACATATCCCTGCTTCATGGAAACTTGCTAATGTTAATGCTATATATAAGGGAAAGGGGTCCCAAAATGATGCCAGTAATTATAGGCCAATCTCAATTACATCTTGCTTTAGTAAAATTATTGAAAAAATCATCTTTAAGTACCTGTATAACTATCTTGTAGCAGCTGAAACTATTTCTGAGCACCAGTCAGGCTTCCTGCCTGGTGACTCAACTGTGAATCAATTATTATCTATATATCACACTATTATAAATAATTTAGATAAAGGTAAAGAGGTAAGATTTGTCTTCTGTGATGTAAGTAAAGCCTTTGATAGGGTTTGGCATGACGGTTTAATATATAAATTAGAAACTTATGGAATTAAAGGAAAATTACTGGCATGGTTTAAGAACTACTTGTCCGAGAGAAAACAAAGGGTTATTACAGAAGGACACCAGTCAACTTTTAAATGTATCAGTGCAGGAGTGCCTCAGGGATCTGTCCTTGGTCCATTTCTCTTCCTTCTCTATATAAATGACATCACTAATATAGTTACTAGTAACATTAAACTTTTTGCAGATGATACCTCCCTCTATATTATTGTTGATGATAATCCCATTCAAGCAGCACAAAATCTCACTAATGACTTGCAGAATATATGTTCTTGGGCTAAATCTTGGGATATAAAATTTAATGCATCCAAAACTAAAACTATGATCTTCACACGGAAAAAAGAAACTAATCACCCTCCAATCTTCTTCTCTAATCAACCACTATCCGACAGTACTAACCATAAACATTTAGGTCTTACTTTTAATGAAGATGGTAAATGGGGTCAACATATCCAAAATATTTATGATACAGCATATAAAAGAATTAATATATTAAGAAGTCTTAAAACCTCACTTGATAGAAGTACACTTAACACTATGTATATATCTTATATTAGACCAATTTTAGAATATGCTAATGTAGTTTGGGATAATTGCACTGAACAATCAAAATTATTATTAGAATCAGTCCAACTAGATGCTGCTAGAGTAGTGACAGGGCTTCGTAGAGGTACATCACACCATAAATTGTACAAAGAATTGGGATGGGAAACCTTAGCAGATAGGAGGGAAAAAAATAAATTAATTGTAATGTATAAAATATTGCACAATATATCACCAAAGTACCTTAATGATATAGTTGATCCTTTTTTAAATGATTTAACAAATGTGAGATATCAGCTTAGACTAAATAGAGTTTTTAACCCCCCTGTATGCAGAACTGACAGCTACTTTAATAGTTTCTTTCCCTCAACCTTTCGACTTTACAATCAGTTAGACCCAGATATTTTAAATGCTCAATCTCTTCCTCACTTTAAGAAACTAATTAACATAACTAATAGTATACCTAATAATGATACTCAGACAGTGGTAAAAAATTCTGGTGATAGAAAAATCAATATTATACTATGTCAAATTAGAAATAATGCTAGCAACTTAAACTTTGATCTCTTTAATGACCATCTATTAGAATCTGCTTCATGTGTGTGTGGTTATATACAGGAAACAAGTTATCATTACTTCTTTGACTGTGCCAGATACAACAATCACAGACAAGTACTCTCTGCTACTCTACTCAATGATAATCACTCGCACTATACTTTACATACTTTACTAAATGGTTGTAACCATTGTGACAATGAAACCAATAAAAATATCCTAGAGAGTGTCTCAACCTTTATCTTGAACTCAAAAAGATTTATTAACTAGAATTATCTATATCAACTTATATTATAATGTACTATAAATAATCTAATATTGTAAACATGAACAGCAAACATGCTTATGGTTATAAATATTATTAATCGCTTTCTATAAACACAGTGTGAATATGATACACTCACCCCTTAAACCAACATGGACTTGTATTTTGTAATTAATAACAAATAGTTGTATAATTATATTTTCAATGTATTATAATGTGAATGTTAATATACCATACAATATTGACATAGATTATTCACGATATTTAATTATATAAGCCTAATCTTCAACTACATGTATCTATGAGTCACTCTGTGTGGATTTTGAACTCCCAGGGAGAATCTAGTCAAGGAATATGTCAAAAACCCACTCAATACTCTGTTGAGGTCAAGAAGTAGCAAAGCTTGACTTGTGACCTTTCATAAGCTGTTAGAGTTATCTCCCCTATACCATATGACTTGCACATTGATATCTGTTTTGTATATATATGCTGATCTATACAAATGCATGTAGGAGAGAACTGATATAGGCATAGCCTGTTGTTCGATCCAATTCATACAACATCATGAATAAAATTTGTTGAAATGAAATTTGTTGAAATGAAATATTTTTCCCTATTTTGCTTTGTATAGCTGTACTAGTCTGACGCACAGGGACCTGCTAATGTATCAGAGTGTGGATATACTAGACGTGTTGAGTGATCCTCATGACAACCATCCGCCCGTATAGCTACAATAGAACAAAATATAACTCGATTTGAAAGGCATTGCATTAAATACCATGTATACTATTTTATGTTTATGTGGCAGATTTAATTGTACATAGAATTACGGTCACCTTCTAGCTTGGAGCTAAAGGAAATTCCCTTTACTTCAGTAGTAGAGCGTCCGACTAGAAACCTAGGGATCGTGGGTTCGATGGTTTGGTTTAGTATTGTTTAACGTCCTATCAACAGCTATGGTCATTTAAAGACGGCCTCCCCTGTGTGCAAGATGCATGATTGTAGTGTGTGCGTGTGTGTTTGTGGAGGCTGCGATATGTTCGTGTTTATCGCCTTGTGATAGCGCGGAACTGATGCCGACTTTATAGTGCTACCTCACTAAAACATACTGCCGAAGACACCCAGCAGGACATCCACCCGGTCACATTATACTGACGACGGGCGAACCAGTCGTCCCACTCCTTAATTGCTGAGCGTTAAGCAGGAGTAGAAACTACCATTTTTACAGACTCTGGTATGTCTCGGCCAGGGGACAGAAACCAGAGCTTTCCTAACAGGGCGAGCTCAACTAAAGGCCAAAAGTGAGGCATTGTCAAGGGAGACATTAGGAAGAAGAAATTTGTTTAGAAAGAAGAGAAAAGATACGATCCCAAATTTAGTCGCCTCTTACCATCATGCGATGGGGAAAGCAGGTACTACCTGCAGGGACTCGACCTCCAGCGTCAACACACTAATACAAAATGGAATATAAACATACTTACAGATGGAGCAAAATATATATATCACAGCGTCAACACACCAACAGATTAATTTAAATATATACCACAGCATCGACACACCAACAGATAGATTAAAATGTATATCAAAACGTCAACACACTAAGAAATAAAGTAAAATATATACGACAGCGTCGACACACCAACAGATGAAGTGAAATACATACCACAGTTTAAACAAACTAACAGATGAAGTAAAATATATACCATAGCGTCAACAAACTAACAAATCATGAAAGATATACACCACAGCGTCAACACACTAACACAAAATGGAATATAAACATACTTACAGATGAAGCAAAATGTATATCACCGCGTCGACACACCAACAGATAGATAAAAATGTATATCAAAACGTCAACACATTAAGATTAAGTAAAATACATACCACAGCGTCGACACACCAACAGATAGATAAAAATGTATATCAAAACGTCAACACATTAAGATTAAGGAAAAAACATACCACAGCGTCGATACACCAACAGATAGATAAAAATGTATATCAAAACGTCAACACACTAAGAATTAAGTAAAATACGTATCACAACGTCAACACACTAACAGATAAAGTGAAATATATCCCAAAGCGCCAACACACCAACAGATTAATTAAAATATATACCACAGCCACTACCGTCATGCAACACCATTAAAGGGCCATCATTAAACCATCAAATGTGTGTACCATTAATTATGGTCCTTTCCATTATAATGAAAAAAACATTAATAAACATTTGATGGTCATGAATGTTTAGCTTAATGGCCATTAACAGTAAGATCAAAACAATGGCATAAAGGCATTTTGTAATGAGCATGAAAAAAATGGTTTAATGACCATTAAAGATCTATCAATATAATTTCATGGGCATTACAATATATACCTCTCTAAATATTCATGGCCATAAAACTTGATTAATGGGCATTGAAAAACACCACTCTAGATTTCATGGTAGGTGAAAGGACCATATTTAATGGCATCATTAATATTAAGGCAGTATCAATGGCCATTACTTCCTTTTAATGGCAATCAAACCTAAATTTGCTGAAAATAAATAATGGTGATTAAATTTTCTTCGCATCAAAAGACAATTCATCCAATTGGTCTGTCTGTAGTAAAATAAATGTGTTCAGTGGAAGCTTTCCACATTGCATACAGTGGTACCGCTACGTACATCATTGTATGTACAGGATTTAAGCAAAAGTATATATTGGGTATATGATGTGACTTCCAGAAGTACATGGCAGGCTTGTTATAACAAGAATTTTTGTTCAAAGAATAAGTCTGCAGTTGATTTACCCTTGTTTTATTTAATTGTTTGTTTAAGTATTTTCTAAGTATTTTCTTATATTATAAGATAAACTTTGAAAAACTCCAGATCTTCTTTCTTATTGTTTATCTTAATCATCTTTTTAAAATTATATAGTACAAAGGGATTTTTATTACTTGTAATGTTTTCAGTATGTAATTATAAACATTTTTTTATATATATATATATATATATATATATATATGCACTTTTGAAATTCAAGAGTAGAAACAAAATGACTGCAGATAACCTTACAATTAAGAGCAANCTGGGTTCATCATTGGGAGCAGAAACAAAAATCCTTCAGTCAACTAACCTTACTTCATACTTAATTATATTGTCTTCACAATCAAAATGTTATAACGGTACAAGTATTTTCTTCATGAAATAAATTTTGAAAAACTCTACAATGTTCTTAAGTCTTTTTTGTGTGTTAAAACCTGGATTCATCATACAGGACAAAAGCACAAAAGGAATTCAACTTCAAGGTTAAATATAATCATTTAACCCATCCAATGCCTTTCTTAGGAAGCTATCCTTCTCATCCACTTCAATCTTGATCACACCATGTTTAAGTTTGCTCTTGTCCGGATCGTGATAAAGTGACATGTGGTAATTGTTCTCTTTTGGTATTTCCAATATACAAAAGGTCATGTCAGGATTTATTTGAACATCCGTAGCACTAAGAAAAGCGTTTTTTGAGTTTTCCCAGAGATTTTCTAAATCTTGATTTTGAAATTTTTCACCGGTTAACTTGAAACTGGGCTTTGTACAGTTGCGAACAATAAAATCATCACTTTTCGGAGATTTCCTTTTAACTCCCCAGTACAGAGATCCTCTTGACCATTCCATCAAAACAAAAGAATAATCCCGTGTATCACGTGCCAATTTTTGTTTCTTCAATGCGGCTGGCCTTTTTTCCAATTGTGCATGCCCAGCTTTTCGGTTTTTTTGTTTGCCAGATCTGAATCCAAAATCCAGATCTGCATCAGTTTTTTCTCTTGCACTAGTACTGCCCTTGCAATTCGTGTTATGCGTTTCTGAATCATGATCACTGGAACTACTGTCATGCGAGCTTTCTTGTTGTGCTTTACTGCATGTTTTCTTCACATTCTTCTTTTCATGTATCCTTAAACAGATGCTTGCATGTAAAATATCTGTTCTTAAAGTTACTAGCTGTTTTAAACCTTCACTTCGAAAATCATCAGACCCATCAGGAGCTTTCTCTGCCAATTCAAAACTTTGGCTCATATCTGTTGTCTTGCTTTTCAATATTACCTTTGAATAAACATTTGCATCATCTTTATATCCCATGAATAAACCTTTTCCAAATACATGTCCTTGTTTTTTTTATCACGACTTCATCCCCAACATCAAATGTCTTAAGATCTAGAGGTTTTGATGATTCCTGTACATGT